CCCAGCAAAGCATTACATGGAACTTGCTGATGGGACACGTAGAAATAATGTGGCTCTGAAACGTGGAGATGCTGAAGGATCAATAGCTGATGAAAATGGAAAATATGTGAAAGCTGTTCTGAAAGACGTACTGTTCATACCAACGTATCCACAGAATATATTTTCTGTTAGAGCAGCTACTTCAAATGGAGCCAAAGTAAAGTTCTCACAAGATAAAAATGAACTTGTCTACAAAGATGGTACAACTTTCATTATTGAGGAACATGAACGCTTGTATTGTTTGAACACTGTTAATCAACTAAATGATGATAGCAATATAAGTAGTTCATATGATAAGGTCAGTCTTGCATGCAATATTTACAAGTGGCATGAAATATTAGGGCATTGCAATTTCGATGATATAATGAAACTAGAAAATGTAGTCCCTGGAATGAAAGTTGTAGGGAAGGTAGATAGGTCCAAGTTAGAATGTGGTACATGTACAGAAGGGAAGTTTGCAAATTGTAGAAATAGAGCACCAGATAGTCGAGCTACAAAACCCCTAGAAATGGTACATACAGACTTAGCAGGTCCCATTAGCCCAGTGTCCAAAAATGGTTTTAAATATTGCATTGCATTCACTGATGATTTTTCTGGAGCCATTTTTGTATATTTCCTTAGAAATAAGACTGACACCCTATTAGCAACTGAGAAGTTTCTTGCCGATTGTGCACCTTATGGCCAGGTAAAGTGCTTAAGGTCAGATAATGACACAGAATTTATGAATGGTGATTTCCAAGATCTTCTTAGGAAAAGAGCCATTAAGCATGAAACTTCTTGTCCAAATTCTCCCCACCAGAACGGAACAGCGGAAAGGTACTTGCGGACACTATTTGTAATGGCTCGGTTTTTGTTGTTGGGGAGTGGTGTGCCTAAGATGTTGTGGCCATATGCCGTCCAAACTGCCGATCATATTAGAAATAGGTGTTACAACAACAGGACTAAGAGTACCCCTATTTTAGCATGACAGGAAGAAAACCAGACCTGTCAAAGATGTGGGTGTTTGGCTCAGAGTGTTACATTTATAACTATGATTATAAGAAACTAGACCCTAGGTGTGTGAAAGGAGTATTTGTCGGTTATGATAAGAACAGCCCAGCCCACTTTGTTTATCACCCACAGTGTGGTAAAGTCATGAAACACAGATTAGTAAAGTTTATTAAGAATACCAGTGCAGAACAATGCACACAGACTGAAATTGATGATCTAGGCCTTTGTAGAAAGGAGGAAAATGGAATTTCCCCAAATGATGTTCAGGGACAGGAAAAAGATTTTCCCGAACCTGAAGAAATTGTTGAAAACTTAGATTTAGGCGAAGGGCCACAGTTAGGTGTTGAAGATAGTAAAGAGGTTGAAGATGATCATGAGGCTAAGGTTTAGCCTCAGAGGGAGAGAAAAGCCCCACAATATCTAGGAGTCAATAATTCAGCCAATGTAAATGTTGATTATTGTTATAAAGTTTGCGGCGTGCCACAAACGTACACTGAAGCTATGGAGTCCCCTGAAGCTTCAGGTTGGGAGAAGGCCATGAAAGGTGAGATGGAAGCACTCAAGGAGAATGACACGTTTGAATTAACCACCTTACCAGAGGGTAAGAATTTAGTGGGGGGAAGATGGGTCTATACCATCAAGGAGGATGCAAATGGTTTGGAAACATTAAAAGAAAGATATGTTGCAAAAGGGTACAGTCAAGTGCATGGTATTAACTATGAGGAAACTTTTTCCCCAACTGCCAACATTACATCAATCAGAATCCTTATGCAACTTGCTGCTCAATATGATCTTACTGTTCATCAGATGGATGTCAAAACAGCTTTCCTTCATGCCCCTATTGACCATGAAATATTCATGGAGCAGCCAATGGGCTTTGAAGAGTTGTCACAGAACGGTGTCAAATTAGTCTACAGGTTGAAGAAATCTCTTTATAGTTAGTTAGGAACTTTATTAAAGTGTCATTTACATCTAGCCGGTTACAGATAACCTACTAATTGGGGACACTTTATGTTCTTAAGCAGTCGGGTAGGAACTGGAACAGGGTGTTAGACGAGTACTTGATAAGTGATGGATTTGTTAGAAATCCAGTCGACCATTGTATTTATCAAAAAAAAACAGGTGAAGATATCATAATTGTAGTTGTGTGGGTTGATGATCTGATTATAGCTTCAAGTAACACAAATAAGATCAGTCAATTCAAGGAAAACATGAAATCTAAATTCAGGATGAAGGACTTGGGAGAAATTTCTTATTTCTTGTGCATTAGCTTTCAACAAGGAAATGGAGTTATTAAAATAAGTCAGAAAAGATATATTCAGAAAATATTGGATAGATTTGGTATGTCTGATTGTAAGCCTAGAACAACCCCATGCGAGCAGATAATTGAGTGCATGAGTGATAGTGAACAGGTAGACCCAAGGAGATATAGAGAGATTGTAGGTAGTCTGATTGTAGGTAGATTGTAGGTAAGCTTAGCAGCCACTACTCAAGAAAGTTTATATTTGATGCAGTTACTTAAAGTTATTTTGAACATTCTGAGCCAATCTTTCATCACCTAAAAATTCTCAGTTTATACAAAATAAATTATTATTTAACAAGTATGTTAAGGTTCCGATATTTCCATCTAGAAAATTTACCAGAATTATTCACAAACTACTTTTAACCAATAGGGAAATTCATAATCATAACACAAGAAATTCGTCATTGATACACAAAAAGAGCAATAGAACCAATTACACAAAACACACTCTCTCTAATAAAGGTATAGAAGTGTGGAATAATCTTCCCACTCAATATAAAGAACCTGCTAAATCTTACGACTCCTTCAAAAAAATAATGCAAAAGTACTTCTCACAACTGAATTTAATAGAATAACATATTCCTGTAAGTATAGAAAAACTATAAATCCGAGGTTGGAAATAAAATGAAAATTTTTTCAAAATTCCGACGTTGGAAAAAAAAATGAAAATATTTTTCAAAATTCCGAGCGTGGAAAATAAAAATGAAATTTTTTTCAAAATTCCGAGGTTGGAAAAAAAAATGAAATTATTTTCAAAATTCCGAGGTTGGAAAAAAAAATGAAAATTTTTTTCAAAATTCCCAGTTGGAAAAAAAAGAATAAAAATTTTTTCAAAATTCCGAGGTTGGAAAAAGAAAATGAAAATTTGTTTCAAAATTCCGAGGTTGGAAAAAAAAATGAAATTTTTTTCAAAATTCCGAGGTTGGAAAAAAAAATGAACATTTTTTAAAAAATCCGAGGTTGGAAAAAAAAATGGAATTTTTTTCAAAATCCAGAGGTTGGAAAAAGAAAATTAAAATTTTTTCCAAATTCCGAGGTTGGAAAAAAGAAATGAAAATTTTTTCAAAATTGCGAGCTTGGAAAAAAAAATGAAAATTTTTTTCAAAATTCCGAGGGTGGAAAATAAAAATGACATTTATTTCAAAATTCGGACGTTGGAAAAAAAACTGAAATTTTTTTTCAAAATTCCGAGGTTGGAAAAAAAGAAAGAAAATTTTTCAAAATTCGGAGGTAGGAAAAAGAAAATGAAAATTTTTTTCAAAATTCCGAGGTTGGAAAAAAAATGAAATTTTTTCAAAATTCCGATGTTGGAAAAAAAATTCAAATTTTTTCAAAATTCCGAGGTTGGAAAAAAATCAGAATTTTTTCAAAATTCCGATGTTGGAAAAAAAATGAAATTATTTTTAAATTTCCGAAGATGGAAAAAAAATGAAAATTTTTTCAAAATTCCGAGGTTGGAAAAAAAAATGAAAATTTTTTCAAAATTCCGTGCTTGAGAAAAAAAATGAAAATTTTTTCAAAATTCCGAGGTTGGAAAAAAAAATGAAAATTTTTTCAAAATTCCGAGGTTGGAAAAAAAAATGAAAATTTTTTCAAAATTCCGAGGTTTGGAAAAAAAACTGAAAATTTTTCAAAATCCGGGTCGGAAAAAAAGAATGAAAATTTTTTCAAAATTCCGAGACTGGAAAAAATAAGAAATTTTATTCAAAATTCCGAGGTTGGAGAAAAAAAATGAAAATTTTTTCAAAATTCCGAGGTTGGTAAAGAAATGAAAATTTTTACAAAATTCCGAGGTTGGAAAAAAAAAATGAAAATTTTTTCAAAATTCCGAGGTTGGAAAAAGAAATGAAATTTTATTCAAAATTCCAATGTTGGAAAACAAAAATGAAAATTTTTTCAAAATTCCGAAGTTGGAAAAAAAAATTAAAATTTTCTCAAAATTCCGAGATTGGAAAAAAAAAATGAACTTTTTTTCAAAATTCCGAGACTGGAAAAAATAAGAAATTTTATTCAAAATTCCGAGGTTGGAGAAAAAAAATGAAAATTTTTTCAAAATTCCGAGGTTGGTAAAGAAATGAAAATTTTTACAAAATTCCGAAATGAAAATTTTTTCAAAATTCCGAGGTTGGAAAAAAAAATGAAAATTTTTTCAAAATTCCGAGGTTGGAAAAAAAAATGAAAATTTTCTCAAAATTCCGAGGTTGGAAAAAAAAATTAAAATTTTTTCAAAATTCCGAGATTGGAAAAAAAAAATGAAATTTTTTTCAAAATTCCGAGACTGGAAAAAATAAGAAATTTTATTCAAAATTCCGAGGTTGGAGAAAAAAAATGAAAATTTTTTCAAAATTCCGAGGTTGGAAAAAAAAATTAAAATTTTTTCAAAATTCCGAGGTTGGAAAAAAAGAATGAAAATTTTTTCAAAATTCCGAGGTTGGAAAAAAAGATGAAAATTTTTTCAAAATTGCGAGATTGGAAAAAAAAATGAAATTTAATCAAAATTCCGAGACTGGAAAAAATAAGAAATTTTATTCAAAATTCCGAGGTTGGAGAAAAAAAATAACAATTTTTTCAAAATTCCGAGGTTGGAAAAAAAAAATGTAAATTTTTTCAAAATTCCGAGGTTGGAAAAAGAAATGAAATTTTATTCAAAATTCCGAGGTTGGAAAAAAAATGAACATTTTTTCAAAATTCCGAGGTTGGAAAAAGAAATGAAAATTTTTTCAAAATTCCGAGGTTGGAAAAAAAACTGAAAATTTTTTCAAAATTCCGAGGTTGGTAAAGAAATGAAAATTTTTACAAAATTCCGAAGTTGGGAAAAAAAATGAAATTTTATTCAAAATTCCGAGGTTGGAAAAAAAGAAATGAAATTTTATTCAAAATTCCGAAGTTGGAAAAAAAAATGAACATTTTTTCAAAATTCCGAGGTTGGAAAAAAAAATGAAAATTTTTTCAAAATTCCGAGGTTGGAAAAAAAACTGAAAATTTTTTCAAAATTCCGAGGTTGGAAAAAAAATTAAAATTTTTTCAAAATTCCGAGGTTGGAAAAAGAAATGAAATTTTTTTCAAAATTCCGAGGTTTGGAAAAAAAACTGAAAATTTTTCAAAATTCCGAGGTTGGAAAAAAAGAATGAAAATTTTTTCAAAATTCCGAGGTTGGAAAAAAAGATGAAAATTTTTTCAAAATTGCGACATTGGAAAAAAAAAATGAAATTTTATTCAAAATTCCGAGACTGGAAAAAATAAGAAATTTTATTCAAAATTCCGAGGTTGGAGAAAAAAAATGACAATTTTTTCAAAATTCCGAGGTTGGAGAAAAAAAATGAAAATTTTTTCAAAATTCCGAGGTTGGAAAAAAAAATGAAAATTTTTTCAAAATTCCGAGGTTGGAAAAAAAAAATGAAAATTTTTTCAAAATTCCGAGGATGGAAAAAAAAAATGAAAATTTTTTCAAAATTCCGAGGTTGGAAAAAAAAAATGAAAATTTTTTCAAAATTCCGAGGTTGGAAAAAAAAAATGAAAATTTTCTCAAAATTGCGAGGTTGGAAAGAAAATGAAAATTTTTTCAAAATTCCGAGCTTGGAAAATAAAAAATGAAAATTCTTTCAAAATTCCGAGGTTGGAAAAAAAAATGAAATTTTTTTCAAAATTCCGAGGTTGGAAAAAAAAATGAAATTTTATTCAAAATTCCGAGGTTGGAAAAAAAGAATGAAAATTTTTTCAAAATTCCGAGGTTGGTAAAGAAATGAAAATTTTTACAAAATTCCGAGGTTGGAAAAAAAAAATGAAAATTTTTTCAAAATTCCGAGGTTGGAAAAAAAGATGAAAATTTTTTCAAAATTCCGACGTTGGAGAAAAAAAATGAAATTTTTTTCAAAATTCCGAGGTTGGAAAAAAAAATGAACATTTTTTCAAAATTCCGAGGTTGGAAAAAAAAATGAACATTTTTTCAAAATTCCGAGGTTGGAAAAAAAAATGAACATATTTTCAAAATTCCGAGGTTGGAAAAAAAATGAAAATTTTTTCAAAATTCCGAGCCTGGAAAAAAAAAATGACAATTTTTTCAAAATTCCGAGGTTGGAAAAAAAAAAGAAAATTTTTTCAAAATTCCGAGGTTGGAAAAAAAAATTTAAAATTTTTTCAAAATTCCGAGGTTGGAAAAAAAGAATGAAAATATTTTCAAAATTCTGAGGCTGGAAAAAAAATGAAGATTTTTTATAAATTCCGACTTTGGAGAAAAAAATGAAAATTTTTTCAAAATTGCGAGGTTGGAAAAAAAAAATGAAATTTTTTTCAAAATTCCGAGGTTGGAAAAAAAAAATGAAATTTTTTTTAAAATTCCGAGGTTGGAAAAAAAAATGGGAATTTTTTGAAAATTCCAAGGTTGGAAAAAAAAAATGAAAATATTTTCAAAATTCCGAGGTTGGAAAAAAAAAATGAAAATTTTTTCAAAATTCCGACGTTGGAAAAAAAAATGAAATTTTTTTCAAAATTCCGAGGTTGGAAAAAAAAAATGAAAATTTTTTCAAAATTCCAGGTTGGAAAAAAAAATGAAATTTTTTTCAAAATTCCGAGGTTGGAAAAAAAAAATGAAAATTTTTTCAAAATGCGGTTGGAAAAAAAAATGAAAATTTTTTCAAAATTCCAAGGTTGGAAAAAAAAATGAAAATTTTTTCCAAATTCCGAGGTTGGAAAAGAAAAATGAAAATTTTTTCAAAATTCCGAAGTTGGAAAAATAAAATGAAAATTTTTTCAAAATCCCGAGGTTGGAAAAAAAAAATGAAAATTTTTTCAAAATTCCGAGGTTGGAAAAAAAAAATAAAAATTTTTCAAAATTCCGAGGTGGGAAAAAAAAAATGAAAATTTTTCAAAATTCCAAGGTGGGAAAAAAAAAATGAAAATTTTTTCAAAACTCCGAGGTTGGAAAAAAAAAATGAAATTTTTTTCAAAATTCCGAGGTTGGAAAAAAAAATGGGAATTTTTTGAAAATTCCAAGGTTGGAAAAAAAAAATAAAAATTTTTTCAAAATTCCGAGGTTCGAAAAAAAAAACGAAAATTTTTTCAAAATTCAGAGGTTGGAAAAAAAATGAAATTTTTTTTGAAAATTCCAAGGTTGGAAAAAGAATGAAAATTTTTGGAAAATTCCGAGTTTGGAAAAAAAATGAAAATCTTTTGAAAATTACGAGGTTGGGAAAAAAATGAAAGTTTTTTGAAAATTCCGAGGTTTTGAAAAAAAAATGAAAATGTTTTTGAAAATTTCGAGATTGGAAAAACAATGAAAATGTTTTTGAAAATTCCGAGGTTGGAAAAAAATGAAATTGTTTTGAAAATTCCGATGTTGGAAAAAAATTGAAATTTGTTTGAAAATTCCGAGGTTGGAAAAAAAATATGAAACTTTTCATTTTTCTTAACCTCGGAATTTTCAAAAAAATTTCATTTTTTCTCCAACCTCGGAATTTTCAAAATATTTTCATTTTTTTCCAAACTTCAGAATTTTCAAACATGAAAATTTTCGGAAAATTGCGGGGTTGGAAAAAAAATTAAATTTTTTTGAAAATTCTGAGGTTGGAAAAAAAATGAAAATTATTTGAAAATTCCGAGGTTAGCAAAAAAATGAAAATTCTTTGAAAATTACGAGGTTGGAAAATAAATGAAAGTTTTTTGAAAATTCCGAGGTTGGAAAAAAAATGAAAATTATTTGAAAATTACGAGGTTTGAAAAAAAATGAAACTTTTTTGAAAGTTCCGAGGTTGGAAAAACAATGAAAATGTTTTTGAAAATTCCGAGGTTGGAAAAAAATGAAATTGTTTTGAAAATTCCGATGTTGGAAAAAAATTGAAATTTGTTTGAAAATTCCGAGGTTGGAAAAAAAATATGAAACTTTTCATTTTTCATAACCTCGGAATTTTCAAAAAAATTTCATTTTTTCTCCAACCTCGGAATTTTCAAAATATTTTCATTTTTTTCCAAACTTCAGAATTTTCAAACATGAAAATTTTCGGAAAATTGCGGGGTTGGAAAAAAAATTAAATTTTTTTGAAAATTCTGAGGTTGGAAAAAAAATGAAAATTATTTGAAAATTCCGAGGTTAGCAAAAAAATGAAAATTATTTGAAAATTACGAGGTTTGAAAAAAAATGAAACTTTTTTGAAAATTCCGAGGTTGGAAAAAAAATGAAAATGTTTTTGAAAATTCCGAGATTGGAAAAAAATGAAAATTTTATTGAAAAATCCGAGGTTGGAAAATAAATGAAAATTTTTTGAAAATTTCGAGGTTGGAAAAGAATGAAAATTTTGTTGAAAATTCCGAGGTTGGAAAAAAATGAATTTTTTTTAAAATTCCGAGGTTGGAAAAAAAATGAAAATTATTTGAAAATTACGAGGTTTGAAAAAAAATGAAACTTTTTTGAAAATTCCGAGGTTGGAAAAAAAATGAAAATGTTTTTGAAAATTCCGAGATTGGAAAAAAATGAAAAATTTTTTGAAAATTCCGAGTTTGCAAAATAAATGAAAATTTTTTGAAAATTCCGAGGTTGGAAAGAAAATGAATATTCTTTTGAAAATTCCGAGGTTGGAAAAAAATGAATTTTTTTTGAAAGTTCCGAGGTTGGAAAAAAAATGAAAATGTTTTGAAAATTCCAAGGTTGGCAAAAAAATGAAAATTTTTTGAAAAGTCCGGGTTGCCAAAAAAAATGAAAATTTTTTGAAAATATCAAGGTTGGCAAAAAAATGAATTTTTTGAAAATGGCGAGGTTGGGAAAAAAACGAAAAATTTTTAAAAATGCCAAGGTTTGAAAAAAAATGAAAATTTTTTGAAAATTGCGGGGTTGGGAAAAAAATGAAAATTTTTTGAAAATTTCGAGGTTGGAAAAAAAATAAAACTTTTTGAAAATTCCGAGGTTGGAAAAAAACCGAATATTTTTTGAAAATTCCGGGCTTGGAAAAAGAATGAAATTTTTTTTGAAAATTCCGAGTTTGGAAAAAAAATGAAATTTTTTTGAAAATTCCAAGGTTTGCAAAAAAATGAAAATTTTTTGAAAAGTCCGGGTTGCCAAAATAAATGTAAATTTTCTGAAAATATCAAGTTTGGCAAAAAAATGATTTTTTTGAAAATGGCGAGGTTGGAAAAAAAATGTAAATTTTTTGAAAATTCGGAGTTTGGCAAAAAAATGAATTATTTTTTTAAATTTCGAGTTTTGAAAAAATATGAAAATTTTTTGAAAATTGCGGGGTTGGAAAAAAAATGAAATTTTTTGAAAATTCCGAGGTTGGAAATAAAATGAAATTTTTTTGAAAATTCCGAGGTTGGAAAAAAAATGAAAATGTTTTTGAAAATTCCGAGATTGGAAAAAAATTAAAATTTTTTGAAAATGCCGAGGTTGGAAAATAAATGAAAATATTTTGAAAATTCCGAGGTTGGAAAAAAAATGAAAATTTTTTTGAAAATTCCGAGATTGGAAAAAAAATGAGATAAACTTATCGTCGTGCTGGGGATAGATCATTGTAATTCTGGATCTTGAACGAGGAATTTCTAGTAAGCGCGAGTCATCAGCTCGCGATAATTACGTCTCTGCCCTTTGTACTCACCGCCCATCGCTACTACCGATTGAATAGTTTAGTGAGGTTTCCAGATTGGCACTGTCAGATGGGCTTCGTATCATCCGACGGACGTCAAAAAGTTGGTCAAACTTGATCTTTTAGAGGAAGTAAAAGTCGGAACAAAGTTTCCGTAGGTGAACCTGCGAAAGGATCATCATCGCTTCGTCAAAGACGTAACTGATCGAAAGCGACCGGGTCGTGTACCCCTCGCGTTCGAATAACCCTGTGAACCTAACAAACCAAAAGGGAGGTGGACGCCACGGCGTGCTTAAATGGGTTGATAGGCACATTATCATTATTATTATTTAATCTTCTTTAAAAACAACGGTAGCCCTACAGCTTAGATAAAAGCTGTTGGGCTACACAATACATATTTACAAAAAAAGTTGTGTTAATAATTACAATTAGTATATAGTTACAAATTACACATTACACATTACGCATTACGCATTACGCATTACGCATTACGCATTACGCAGTACACCACATAATATGATAAGACTTAAGTATTATGTTGAGGTCTGTCCCGAAGCAAGGTTTTAAGTGCGTTTAATGACAAGCAATTGCTTTTCAGTTCTACTGGTAATTCATTCCAAATTTTTACACCTGAGTAGCTGATGCTTTTTTTAAAAAAGTTTGTTTTGGGCTTTTCTAATTTTTAATCGATATTATTATTTCGTAAATTGTAATTGTCATTATTTTTAACGACAAACAAGCTAGATATATTTTCTAAGTATTCACCATTCGTAACTTTATGCATTAATATCGCCTTATTATTACCCCATCTTTCCATCAATGGCTGCCATCTTAATTCTTCTAATATATCCTTAGATCTGACATCATATGATTTACCAGTTATGACTCTTGCAGCCCTGTTTTGCAGTTTTTGGAGTTTTTCGAGCGAATATGCATTTCCTATATCCCAAATAAAACTGCAATAGTCAAAGTGGGGCAAGATAATTGAATTGTATACAGATATAAAGGTTGATTGGGGTACAAAAGCTTTCATTCGTCGAATCATTCCTATGCCTTTTGATCCTTTGGTGGCAACCGTATTTATATGTGAATTCCATATAAGTTGGTCATCGACAATAACACCTAAAGTTTTTGTTTCTGAAACTTTTTTATTTTGTTATCTCCCTATTTAATTTCAGCTTCATCATCTATTTTGCCTAGTCTCTGTCTGGAGCCAACAATCATGTATTCAGTTTTACTCGTGTTAAGTGTTAATTTGTTAGCCAACAACCATTGATGTATATTTCCAAATCATTATTCAATTTATTGTACAACTCAGTTGATGTGATATCACTCGCAGTCAGATTAGTGTCATCTGCAAACACGCTGGCTGTTGTTGGTTTTAAACAATTTGGCAAATCATTTACGTATAGCAGAAATAATATTGGCCCAAGATCCAAGAGGCCTTGTGGTACTCCGCAAGAAACTGTTCGACATTTTGATGTCGTTTGGTTAACTTTACACATCTGTTTTCTATTCGTAAAATATGATTTGAACCAATCTAAAGTATTACCAACACAGCCAAATCTTTTTTAATTTTTCTATCAAAATAGCATGGTCCACACAATCAAAGGCCTTTTTAAGTCAAGAAATATAATGCCATTTAAAAGTCCTTTGTCCATATTTATATACCACTGGTTCGTATTAGTAAGGATAGAAGTTACAGTCGAACTTCTCTTCCTAAAACCAGCTTGACACTCTGTCAGCAACTGATAGGTTTCTAGATATTCCATGAGTTGTCCTGAAACTAGTTTTTGAAATACTTTAGCAACTACAGATATGACAGATATTGGTCTGTAGTTGTTACATTCTGTCTTACTTTCTCCCTTATATATGGTGGATATGCAGGCCACCTTTAAATCGTCAGGAAAAATGCCGGTTTCTATCGCTTTATTAAAAATAACGGTAAGCGACTCTGCTATAATATCGGCACTATCCTTTAAAAGTTTCGGCGATATTCGATCATGTCCAGTTGCCTTAGAAGTATGAACTTTCTTTCAAATGATTTATCGGTAGGGACGACATACGTTTCAAATGAATTATTGCCTTTTGGTAGATCTTTAGCCAAAACAGTACCAATCTCATTAAAACAGGTATTCAAGGAATCGGCTATTTTCTCTGGTTCTGTTACGATTTTTTGGTTGATTATCAATTCATTAATATTTGTCGTGTTAGATTTTGTATTTGTTAATTGATTTATAGTTTTCTCCATTGTTTTCGGGTCTTTTCTACACTGATTCAACCCTTCGATCTCGAAGTTGAAATATCACTTCATTTCGCCATCGCCCGGCCTCTCGAGTTTTGCTTTTACAAACTATATATTGTCGTTTGACTTTGTTTCAGAAAAGTTACAAATGGATAACTTTTAACGGTGGATCTCTTGGCTCGTGCATCCGACAAAGAACGCAGCCAGCTGCGATACGTAGGCCTAGTGTGAATTGCAGAATTCAGTGAATCATCGAATCTTTGAACGCAAATGGCGCTCTTGGTTATACCGGGAGCATGTCTGTCTGAGTGTTGGTTACAAACGAGAAACGAACGCGTTTTCGCGCCTTCGATTCGATTGAGGCGTCAGGGGTCATGGTTTTCAAGATAATACATCTGATGATAGACCGAGAAAGAACGAACTAAGACAAAAGGATAGAAAAACTGTTATTATCGCGGGCGACTCATTGATTCAACATGTGCATGGTTGGGAAATGTCAAATACAGAAGTCAGCGTTGCCGTTAAGTCGTTTTCTGGTGCTAAAATTGATGACATGAATGATTTTCTGCAACCTATTATACGAAGGTCACCCGATGAAATAATTCTCCATATTGGCACGAACAATATTAAAGGAAATGACTCGCCTGAAGTTCTCGCTGCAGGTATTTCTAGATTAGCATCAATGATAACCAAGAAATCACCTAATACTAAAGTGACTATCTCTGGTTTGATAGTTAGAAAGGGCCTAAATTTAAAATCGAAGATAATGTCTGTAAACAAGTTGTTGAAATCAACTTGCCTGGCTAATAACTGGCCCTTTATTGATAATTCAAATCTAGATGAAAGCTGTCTAAACCTTAAAGGTTTACACCTAAATCGGAAAGGAACGAGCTATCTTAACAGTAACTTTTCTGATTATATATGATATTCGATTCGGGCTAGTTGCAATCCAATAAGTATACTTGAGTCTGGCATTCCTAAAATTAGGGGCTTTAAGGTAGCCATGCTAAACATTGTCAGCCTGCCGAAATATATTGATGAGATTAGAATTCTATTAGCTAAGCAAGATCTTGATATTCTTGCTTTGAATGAGACTAGGCTAGACGATATGTTGTCTGATGATTTGATGTCTGTTCATAATTATGACCTGATTCGTACTGATCGGAATAGGCAAGGTGGTGGTGTTTGCCTATATATTAGAAGTAATTTAAACTATCTTAATCGAAATGATTCAATCCCTGCTACTCTTGAAGCAGTCTGTGTTGAAATTCACAAACCAAACAGTCAACCATTCATTGTTGCTAGTATATATAGATCTCCTAGTGCAAGCTCTCAGTATTTTTCTATGATAGAATCCTTTATTGATAAACTTGATAGTGAAGGTAAAGAAATTATTGTGGTTGGTGACTTAAACTGCAATATGTTAGATTCGTTGAATTCGGCATCCAAAAAACTAAATGACTTTTTGAATGTCTATCAACTTTCCCAATTAATCGTTAAACCTACTCGTGTAACTCAAACCACAAGCTCCTTATTGGATGTCTGTATCTCCTCACTCCCTGAGAAAATTATATATTCGGATGTATTTCCAATCGGAATTAGCGATCACAACTTAATATTTGTTGTTCGCAAAATTAATGTGCAAAAAAGGGTGAGAGCCCATCAGACTGTTGAAATTAGAAATTTTAAACATTTCAATCCCAGCAGATTTCAAGAAGATCTTTTATCTCAGCCATGGGATCTTTTAGACAGTGAGGATGACGTAGACTCTAAATGGTGTTTGTGGAAAACTTTGTTTCTGGCAGTTCTTGATGTGCATGCCCCTCTTAGGATGAAAAGAGTAAGAACCCGAAGTAATATCCCTTGGTTGAATAAAAATTCTAAAACATTAATGTTTGAAAGGGATAAACTTAAATTAAAGGCAATAAAATCCAATTCCACTTTAGATTGGAATGCATACACGACGGCCAGAAACGTTGTTTCATGCACTTTGCAAAAGGATAAGCAATTATATTATAGTAATTTGCTTTATAAATACAAACACAATCCGAAAGAAAGTTGGCAAACTATAAATCGAATCCTTGGGCGAGGCCATAATAAATCCTCTATATCTAGCATTAGACAAAATGATAACATTATTTCTGGTTCTAATGAAATAGCTGAGACTTTCAATGAATATTTTTCTACTATCGGAGACAAAATTGCAAATTTCGTTGATAATGGAAATACTCACTTTAGTTCATACATAAGTAAATCATCCACGACTTTTGAGTTTGATACTGTATCTGTTGATAAAGTTTTACATTCATTTCATGCTTTATCCTCCTCTGAGGCAATCGGAGTTGATAAAATTCCAATAAAAGTATTGAAACTTTCTATAGCCATTATAGCGCCATCTATGACTAAATTATTTAATTATGTAATTCAGAATGGGGTCTTTCCTCGCGATTGGAAGGTAGCCAAGGTTATACCTCTTCATAAGAAAGGTCCCAAAAATTTGTTGGATAATTATCGCCCAATCTCTATCCTTCCAGCTATCAGCAAGGCCTTTGAAAGTATACTTTATGAGCAACTACATGGCTATTTATCCAATGCTAGCATACTTTCGAAATGTCAATTCGGTTTCAGACGATATCACTCTACAACTACGGCTCTTCTTGATAGCACTAATCAATGGTATTCAAATATGGATAAAGGTTTGCTTAATATTGTTGCTTTTTTAGATCTTAAAAAAGCTTTTGATACCATTGATCATGAAATCTTGATTGAAAAGCTAAATATGTATGGGGTAAAACGGCATTCATTGGGGTTACTTGAATCATACATAACAAATCGGTCACAAAAATGCTTTATAAATGGTACATTATCTCATTCTAAACCGATTAAGTGTGGAATTCCTCAGGGATCGATTTTGGGGCCACTATTCTTTTTAGTGTATATTAACGATCTGCCTAATTGTTTAAAATACTGTACACCGAGGATGTTTGCAGATGATACGACGCTCACTGTGTGTGGCAAATCCACACATGAAATTTCGTCTGCTTTGAATCATGATTTAAATAATGTTAACGATTGGCTAATGGCTAATAAGCTTTGTTTGAACCTTAGCAAAACGGAATATATGCTAATAGGATCCAGACACAGCATCAATAATCTTGTTGATAATCCTTGTATTTCTATTGATGGTAAACTTTTGAACCGAGTGATAGTGACTGAGTCTCTAGGAATTCATATTGACCAATTTCTCTCTTGGGATTTTTATATTGAGAAATTGACAAAGAAAATTTCTAGTGGCATTGGAGCGATTTCTAGGTTAAAACCGTTTGTATGCAGAAATACTCTTATTTCTGTCTACAACGCTTTAGTTCAATCATATTTTGATTATTGTTGTGAGGTGTGGGATCCGATTGGCAGTGTTTTATCTGATAAATTGCAGACTCTTCAAAATTGGGCAGCAACAATAATTATGGGTTACCCAAATGAGCACGGATGCTCAGAAGCTGCTTTGACTGCGCTCGGGTGGAAAACACTTAAGGAACGTCGATTTGAATCTAAAGCCAGACTCATGTTTAAGATTATTCATGGTTTTGCACCTACTGCGCTTACTGAAATATTTTCTAGTGCTTCAGTTGTCAGATCTCATGACTACAATTTACGTAATTCTGACATGAAGCTCAGTCTTCCTTTTCCTAAAACGGAATATTTAAAAAAGAGCATAAGTTTCAATGGTGTTAAATTGTGGAACAATTTACCTATTGCTACTATAAATGTCAATAGCTTATTGAAACACATTGAGGAAATTAGGCATCTGTTATTTCCCTTCGATATTTTTGCTATTAATGAATCCAAAATAGATGATTCTGTAATGAATGGGGAAATAAGTATCCCTGGTTTTAACTTGATAAGAAAGGACCGTAATAGGGCAGGAGGCGGTGTGGTGTTGTATATCAGAGACAACCTATCCTATTTGGATAGGAATGACTTGGTGCCCGATCGTCTTGAGATTCTGTGTGCTGAAATTACTCGCCCCTTTAGCAAGTCGCTTTTTGTCTGCACATGGTATAGGCCTCAGAAGTCAAACTTGAGCTTATTTAATGATTGTGATGTATTTTTTCAAAAATGCGAGTCTGAAAATAAGGAATTGATTATAATTGGTGATATTAACTGCGATGTTATGAAAACCTCACCAGATGCCCATACACGACAATTAAACTTTTTGTGTTCTCTTTATCAACTTGACCAATTAATTAATAAACCTACAAGAGAGACCAACACCTCGGCGACCTTGATTGATTTGGTCTTAACTAATGCTAAAGAAAACATTTCGACGTCTGGTGTAATAGATCTGGGGATGTCTGACCATAGTTTGATTTATGTGGTCAGGAAGTTCACCCTTCCAAAACTTAAACCTAATGTGAAAGAAGTTAGGGATTATAAACATTTTAATGCTGAATATTTTATTGGGGATTTAGCCAGAATGCCTTGGCATGTAATTAATCAATATAATAATCCCAACGAATGCTGGAGGGTATGGAAATCTTTCTTTAATGAGATATTAAATATACATGCGCCGATTCGACATAAGCGAGTAAAGGGGAACTCGGTCCCATGGATTACTCCGGAAATTAAATGTATGATGAGAAACAGAGACTATCATAAAAAATATGCAATAAAACATTCCTCACAGCCACATTGGGAAAGTTTTCAATTTCTGCGGAATAAAGTGAATGTTGAAATGCGAAATGTAAAATCAAAATATTTTCATGATAAAATCACTGATTGCTCTGTAATGAATGACCCTAAAAAGACTTGGAAATTAATTAATTCATTATTGGGAAAGAATAACAAATCCAACAATGTGAATGAGCTGCTGGTTGACAGCACGTTAGTTTCGGATCCTAAATCTATTGCAGATGCATTTAATGACTATTTCATTAGTATTGGGTCGAGGCTAGCAGCAGAATATGTAGACGAGTCCTGTAGTAATGTTGATAATCAGCCCATAAACTATAATATTAATCAATCCTCAGATACTTTTTTTAAAGTATCTCCAATATCCGTTGATAGTGTTGCCTCGACCCTAAGAGGCCTAAAAGCATGTAAAGCAACAGGTCTTGATAAAATTCCTGCTAAAATTCTAAAATTATCTGCAAACATAATTGCACCCTCGTTGACATTCATCTTCAATCTGTCGCTTGCAACAGGCGTATATATAGATGAATGGAAGCGTGCTCGTGTTACGCCAATATTTAAATCCAGGGATAAAAGACAATGTGAGAACTATCGGCCTATTTCAATTTTACCGGTGGTGAGTAAAGCCTTTGAGAAGGAAGTTTTCCGTCAAGTATATAGATACTTGTCTGAAAGCTCTCTTCTGTCAAAGGTTCAATCTGGATTTCGTCCAAAGCATTCAACTGTAACTGCCCTCATCCAAATGTGTGATGAGTGGCTAGAAAATATGGACAATGGAAAGTTAAATGGGGTTGTGTTCATAGATATCAAAAAGGCATTTGACTCTATAAACCATCGCATTTTGTTAAATAAAATGAATGAGCAATTTGGAATTTTTGCTGTAGAATTAAAATGGTTTGAGTCATATTTAACAAATAGAGAACAGCAATGTAATGTTAATGGAGAATTATCTAGTAATAAAATTATCACCTGTGGAGTGCCCCAGGGATCTATACTGGGACCACTGCTATTCCTATTATATATTAATGATTTGCCCGATTGTTTGAAATCAGCTAATCCATGCATGTACGCGGATGATACTCAAATCTTTTCATCTTCCTACGATGCAAATGAACTTGTTGTAAATTTAAATTCAGATCTTGCCCATGTCTGTAACTGGCTTAAAGAAAATAGGCTGCAGATGCATCCATCAAAATGTAAAATGATGTTTATTGGCTGCCCGTATAATCTTAATAATATAATGTGTGAGGAACCCGTTGTGGCTAATGCAAAACCCATATCACGAATTGCTACACAAATGTGCCTAGGAGTAAAACTAGATGAAACCCTTAATTGGGATAGTCACATTGAAATGATATGCAAGAAGGTGAGCGCTGCTATTGGCGCTATGAAACGTATAAAGCCCTTTGTTCCAATGCATACCTTAGAATCGATTTATAAAAGTCTTGTGCAGCCCTACTTTGATTATTGTTCCCCCCTTTGGGACACTTGTGGTAAGCTGCTAAGAGACAAGTTGCAAAGATTTCAGTCTCGTGCAGCAAGAGTCCTAACGGGTGCTAATTATGATACTCGCTCAGCTGATCTTCTCAACATGCTTTCTTGGGATACACTTGAAAATAGGCGGTCTGGTGCCAAGTCAGTATTAATGTATAAAATACTTAACGACCACACTGCGCCAGGTCTCCGGGGTCATTCGTGAGAAGAGAAATAGATCAAACTAATTATCATCTTCGAAACACAGCAACTGATCTAACAATTCCTAAACCGAAACGAGAATTTCTTAAAAAAAGTTTTAAATATAGCGGCGCTATGCTCTGGAATCAACTCCCAAACGAAGCAAAATTGACCGAGTCGCCTCATTCGTTTAAATCAATTGTTGGACAGCGGCATGCTTCCTAATTATTTGTATATAGTAACGTGTACAGTATGTGTGTACTAATATTTAGTTTAAATTTTCCTTTTAACGATTTTTAAGATCTAAACACGCCACCCATGGAAACCAGCCTAGAGTTGATGGGGCTAGCGTGTTCTTCTTTCTGTTAATTTTAAATAAAGTATTACCTACCTACCTACCATATATATATATATATATATATATATATATATATATATATATATATATATATATATATATATATATATATATATATATATATATATATATATAACGAAATTTTAAAGCTAAAAGTCATTAAAAAGACACTTGTTCAAAAATGATTGTTTAAAACGTTCTGTGTAAACTTTTGGTAACATAAATTGATGATCGCGTTCTCTTAAAGGTCGTTGACGTTCTTCCGGTAACAACTCATGTAGGCAATGTTCAGGATTGTGCATGACCTTATTGAACAATAATCGATCCCTCTCCTCAATCATCTTGGCCATTGAATATTTATTCTGAGTGTATCCATATCGGAATGCACGATTGAGAAACTTGTTGAATTTATCAATGTATTTCGCTTGCAAAGCCGATCCCCATACTTCAATTGCATAGTAAAATAACGACAGGATCAATGAATCGAACAATTTAGTAAGTTCATTTAGTGAATATCCGTAGAATTTGCAAACTCTAAGTATGTAAA